AATAGTAGTTTTCCTACGAGTTTGAAAAGTCTTTGTTTGCGAACCGAGAGGTTTGCGGCCCAAGCCGAAGGCGAGGGACGTAACGAGGTTCGTAAAGGAGACTTTTCGAACGAGTTCCGGAAAACTGCTTTTTCGCCCGAGAAAGTACCACCCTCCCAAAACCACCCGAGGGCGGAAAAATACTTTTCCACGAAATCACCATAGTTTTCTAGCCCTGTGTCTCACCTACATCCCTCGTAAAAATCCCGAGTTAGTGAGCGCAGGCTAAGACTCAAATAATACTTCACGCCAACGTAACAATATCACAACTAGTCTTTTTTAACTTAACATCACGTCTGCAAATTAATGTTTTCGTACGTAAAAGTCTACTAGGTACTAAATAAAGAACACAACGTTTAAAAACGATTATATAACTTTGCAAGTCAGAATTTGCTTCTTATAAAACTGTTCCAAGTTTTTCAGTACTCACTACTAACATGAAAATCTATTGTAGGAAATATAAAAAATGACATCGTGATGTTGCATCTTCCTGAAATTTAAACAGGATGCTCATAATAATGTCAAAAAGTCACAAGTAATATTTAAGACCATTTCACAACACCATTTTTGGATTTTTAATGTTGAAAAAACTTTAATTTAACTCGTCACATTATTGAAGAGTCACATACAAACGAAATTTACGAGAAAATGGTATGTAGAATTTTTCCAATTTTTCGCATGACGCAATACCGTTATACTAATATTATAATCATTTTTCAGAGAAATCTTTAAATTGTTTTTGCAACTAAATTTAAAAATGTCAGACGTCTATATACAGATATACAAGTGAATGCAAAACAGGTGATGGCGCTGCCACATGCTCGCTCCCCCCTCACTGCTCTCTCTAAATTTTTCCTCTAACTGTGTAACTGTAACGAACGTCCTTAACAGTAAGGCTATTTTTGTGAAGACTAAGCCTAGTAAAACAATAATTACAGAATTTTGAAAATCACTCGTCTAGTTTTCGTTATTCTTACGACTTTTTGGCTTCTATTCGTCACAAAAACTGTACAATAGAATTAAAAATTTGAAAATAAACCTAAAAATTAAAGGCGTACGAACAAAAATAATAATTTTTCGTTATTTATATATTCGAGTATGTGAATTAGAAATTAATAGTAGTACGGTCACCAAAGCCTCGTCTGCTTTCTTAAACTTACCTCATCACGCTCTCACGCATATTGATTATTTTACATACTTCTGGTTATTACTTTAAATTATCAATTGGAACTGAAACATTACTATTTATTAAAACAAACAAACCTGTAGTTTAGATAAATCATCAACATGTGTAGTCTCTGTCAGGTGACTGATATAACTCCACGATACATTGAATTCCAAGTGACTTTTGACAACGCAAACAAACGTAGCAGTCTCATTGTAGCTGTAGTAATTTTTTAAATAACTTGGATCAAACCTCACGCCTGGCTTATCTACAATCATTAAAATAGTACAATCATTTAAGTAAAGAAGAGTGAAAATAACAGAAAAGTACATTTAAACAAATGTAACATGCTGCTGTGCAATAAAAATAAATCGAAAGTAAGTAAAAACACACAGAGCTCGCATTTTCAGAGTCAAAATCAACTGGAACATTTAATACACTAATATTACTTTACTCAATCTATTGTTTACTAAAGTATTCAATAAAAAAAAAATCCCACAAGATAAAGCTAAAAACAACGTACAGAATATTTTGAGTTTGATATTTTTTCTTACTGTATAATAATATTACATATCAACATGTGGTACAACGATTTTAGCTTCCAGTTTAAAAAAGCAAGATATTTTTAACCATGGAATTAATTATTTACTAAAACTTTTAAGTGTTGATAAAATTTGAATGTTAATAATACTTCTGTGTTATCAAAATTTCATTTACCGAAAACTTTAAGATGAAACGTTATGTTTTTTTTTCCTAGAAAATTTTCAGCTACTAGAGTATAGATCCCATCATTGACAATGGATATATTTTCTATGCGTAAGCTACTTTCTGTTCGGTTGAAAAATGTTGATATAAGGCTTCCAGAATATTCTAAAACACGAGGAATGTCACTATGATTATATTTCCTAAAAAGCAATAAACTTCTTAATAAGATCAAGAATATATATTATAAGTCTCGTGTTCATCAATTCATATATCTGAAAAAACTGTGTGTGTTACCAATGTAAAAATGGTTGTCGACATGCGGAAACATTAGCTAAGAAAGTTACAGATTCACCATGTAATCTGGATACTTTTCTCTCAACAGATGTCAGACTAAGGTAGGGATGATTAGAATCTGTAAAAAAAAATTTGTAAAAACCTAACGATTATTTTAAAGAAGTGACCAAAAAGTAGGGGACCAAGACCTACCATATACACATATTTTAAGTACTTCAGTACTTTTTGTTTCATTATACGATGATTCTATTTGGCATATGTAATTCCCTGTATTTTCGAATGTAACATTGTCAATAATAAGCTCAGACGTTATTACATCTTGTATGTAGAAGTCATTAAAATTTTTTTGAATAGTGTTTGAAATTATCCTAAAAGTCTATTAAACGTAAATACTGTATTATTTAGGAAATTCTTTGGGAATATTGTATGCACACATGTGCCGTTATTAAAATGAATTTATTAATAAACAGGTATTTAACTTTACTGTGTTCTGCGGAATTTTCCAATAAATGCTATAAGCAGCTTCTCTCCTCACTTTAACTGTACATTTAGCACTTAATCTTGAGCCTGTAGTGATGTCTTTTGGACCATTCATGATTATTTCTGGCCAACTCATACAAACGTAAAGTGTAAGATAATCAACTTTCAGAATAATTGTGAATGATAAATTGTTATGCTCNAGAGTACTACACCAAATGACCACACATCTGACATAGTGGAAAAGACTCCGTCTCTGATGGACTCAATGGCCATCCACTTTATGGGTAACTTTCCATCGCATTGCTTCTTATAGTTTTCGTCTTTGTACAATGTCTTGGCTAACCCGAAATCGCAGATCTTGACGATGTTGTTCTCTGCTAACAGTATATTTCTTGCAGCCAAGTCACAGTGCAGCACCTGTAAAAAAAATTAGCAACATAAAACCACAGTTAGCTAATGCGTAGTTATAAATCCGTAACCATAAAATTTTTATATGTATGCACATGATAAGTGCTTGCCTTTCGTTCTGAAAGAAACTTCATGCCGTTTGCCACTTGATAAGCCCATATTAAAAGATCCTCAGTGCAGAGAAACGAAAAATCTTCTTCTGTGTAATCACCTTCATAATTAGAACGCCAACCTGGCTCCGAGTCTTCATTCATCAAATCATCACTGGATTCAATCGGGCCGCTGAATTTCGAAGTTTCTGAATAGTGAATGCTGTGATTATCGTTTGAACTGCTGTCAGACAAGGCCGTAGTTAAATTTTCATAATCCTCGTGTCTTTTTCTATAGGCCAAAAAAATTTTTTTCGTTTGTAACATTTACAATTTATAGGTTACAAAAACAGGTTTTGTGTTTTGTTTGATGTATTTAATAAGTTCCAGAGCTAACTACGTGGTTAATAACCTTTCAAATTTTATCCTTCCTTGGACACAGAGTGAACATTACTAAATGTTAGAAATGATAAAGTATTTTGTATTTTTTTAACTTAATCATCTATATTATTATTATCAAATTCGTTATTAAGCACAGTTTGTTTTATGATTCATGTAAATCCAGCTCTAAAGAAAAGACATTATGTGAAAGTAAGGATAAAGTAATTTGTTATGTGAAACATAGTCTGTAATAAGGTTAATGTTAAAAGTTTAATTCAGAGTAAAAGTTCATTATATTATGAGTAATTGTTTTTATACGAGATATCAATATTAATCAAAAAGCATCTCATTGTCTTTAAGTTCCAGTCCAATATCAAATTACAACGTCAACAATACAGTACTAGAACAAAACGTTACTTAAGGTAGCTTCCTTGCGAAATTATACGTAATAACATATGTTTTGATTAATGGATTTTGATCCATTGAATTTATTTGTATTTATTTTATACTCCGAACTCCCCTAAATTTTGAGAAATTCTTACTTAAAAACTTAATTTTTAATATATGCTCTTATTGAATAGTATTAGACAATAAGTGACTTATACATTTCCTAAAAAAAATTGAAATATCTGAGCAAAGCCATTATTAGATCCTTATAAAAAAATTGTTCTTGTTTCAAATGCCACGTTGCAAAGTGTATGTAGTGAGGCATTTTCTCGAGATATTTTTTAAAAAATAAAGTGAAAATTGTTTTAGCTCCTTATTTTTTGTTACTGATACGCGTTAATTTTTAAAGACGAACATTTCTACTGAATATCCTCACTAGCCTTCTCTTCTACCTCTGGAGACTCTTATCAAGAGTAATAAGATAATTTAATTTCGACTGTATAACAAGTACTCCGTATACGCAAAGAATGTAAAAATGTACTTTGGCTAGGTGTACATGAATGTCTATGTAGGTATGGGTGGTCGACTGCGTTTGGACTTTGGCTGCCTAGGCTACACTTGGCTGTACTGGGGTTTCGTTAATATTACTGTTAAACTTTTCATTATTATATGTAGACAAGGGAGCTATCTCAAAAAACTTTCGGGATCTCCTGTTCGAAGGTGTTAATATGAATCGCTCTGTATCTTAGGCTGTGGGTGCGTGAAACCCCGTGAATCGTAAAACGTATCGCGTATCGCGTAAAGTAAAAAAGATAACATGTAAGCCAGTTTGCGGTCACAAGAAGGCGTAAAAGCCTTGTGTATCGCGTTAAGTATAAGGGAGTTGACCAATCCATCTTATCAATGCTATCTTGTCAACAAAACAAGTTTCCTAATGCAAGTAAATTTTCAGCCTAATCAAATGAAAAAAAGTTCTCAAGTGATTATTAATGCCCACATACTTTTTTTTCCATTTTATTTGCCGTAAATACATTTTATACAGATAAGTCTTAACACTTCTCACCTTTTCTGTGCTATATTGGGTCATTTCTTATGTCGTATGGACTTTCTATAATTTTTCAAAGGTCTTGGAATTTGTTTTTTATTCAATGTCAAAAATCTAATTAATTGTAGAATTGCCGCTTAGATTGATATTGTAGACATTAGCTACTGACTGTATTCACAGGTCGCGTACTTTATTTACGCTTGACGCACAAAAATTCGCCATCGTGTACATGAGTAAAAAAATACGCACATAACTTTATTTTTTCCATAAGTGCTAGAGAGAGAGCATGTGTCTTGCCAACCAAATACTAGCTGTAAACACTTACGCGCGAATTTTTACTACCATGTGCACGATGACAAATTTTTTTGCAGAAAGCGTACCTCACCTAACTTCACCTGATCCTATAATTTTGTGCGATTCGTAATACGATTTACGCGATTCCATGTGCTAGCACTCTAAGGGACCAATAGGATCACGCTTTATTAAAATCAAAAATAATTTTTGTCAATAACACATTCCGTAGCTTAGAAATTGTAATAAAAAGTTCAAGCAGTAAAATTGTTACCTCTTTAAATTTTTTCCCACATAAGTGACGATTTTACCTGTAGTTGGTTCAATTTGGTTAATAAAATTTTTTTGATGACGCACGAGATAGCTTTCAAGATTTCCAAATCTACAAAGCTCAATTATCACCAAAAGTTCACCTACAACATAATTTCATTTTTATTAAATAAGTATTTTCACATGATATTTCAAACAATTATTCGCAAATTATTACGTTTGGCTATATTTTTGGTGCAAGCGCCCAGAAGATTGATGACATTTAAGTGTTGTCCTAAATAAACCATAATTTTAAGCTCCTTTGCCAGTGCACTTAAATACATTGAGTCTGCATTTTTGCGAATAGTTTTCACAGCTACCGTTGTAACCGACTCGTTTGGGAGAATCCTATAGGCCTCTGCTTTATACACAACTCCAAAAGCCCCACTTCCTAATTGCTTATCTTTAATTAAATGAATTGGACGTTTTATGTTATTATTAATCACTAGAATGCTAATTTTTATAATCTTTTGGCAGCAGATGTAGAAATTTATAATTTCTTACCTAATTTTAATTTCTCAATAGGAAACTCCCATCTAATGTCGAAAGCAAGAAGTTCTGCCTGCTCGTCTACGGTAAAATCTGGGTTCATTAAATCAAATGCTTCTTTTTGAAAATGCGTTAATCCAGCTTCCGATTTTCCTTTTTTTCTTTGATTTTTTTTCCGCTTTTTTTCTTTGAACTTGAAATTATTGTTGATTGGAGAATAAAAATATTCACTAATGGCATATTTTAGTCTTAAGACATACGTGTTTAAGAAATAATCACAATTTTATAATTACCTTCGCATGTTGAGCTTTTAAACAAATGTTTTTCAAAAAAAAAGGTAAGAATTGTTATTAGCCACACCATTATCCCAATGCAAATATTAAATTCTCGATTTCCTGAAGTCAAAACGAGTTACTTTACTAATACAACTTTTTCTTTAAGTAATTCAGGAAATAGTTTTATGATTAGAAAAATCGCCTCAAACTATTTATTTTTATTACATGGTAGAGATGAAATTTTTAACCTAAAAAAACAATACTTAAAAGGGTGTCATTGCATAAATTTGTCAATTTTTTGTGATAAGATTTCGATTTAGCAGCAAAAAATATAAGCGACTTTATTCAAAACTTTACAAAATTATACAATTCAAACTTTCGTTTTCTTCACAAAATTTTTCGTGATAAAGTAACGTATACGAATACCCTTATATTAATGATGTTATTAATTTATTTTGTTGTAAATGTCACTTAATAATTTTTTTTTGTAGGAAAGCAGTACTCTTAATAAAAGTAAGGAATTAGTAATCAGTTTTCTCGTAAATGAAAGAATGATTATTTACTTCGATAATTGTTACCTTTCACAACTATTGTTTGAGTTTTCTTTACTGGCTCAAAGCCATTCTCTGCAACACATGAATAATTACCACTGTCACGTTCCAAAAGATATCGTATAATTAACTTTTGATTTCTATCCTCCAAACTAAACTGTTTTGATGACGATAAAGATGTACCGTCTTTGAACCACGTAATAGAAGGTGCTGGAATTCCTTCGAAATGACATGATAAATAGACAGGATTCTCTGGATCTATTGCATATCGTGTTATTGAAACGTTATTTATGTTTCCATGAACAAAGTAAGCTGGAACTAAGAATTAAAAGTCTTTAAAAATAAACATAAATAGTGATTTATTTGTCAAAAAAATTATCTGCCGTGCAATCACATCGGAATAAAATTTTTTTGTGCATACCATTGACCTCAAGAGAAAATTTTTCACTATCGAAGATTTTTGCACCGA